ACACAAAATGGCTGTCCCTTTAACAAATTAAAAGAAATATGATAACCATGAATGGGATGATGTTGTTTTGGAGAAAGATCTAGGTTTCTTTTTTCCTCCAGTTGTTGAAAAGAGCGATGTTTTAAAACAACTAAAAATGTGTTAAGCTGCATTTCTTCTGTTCCCTTGCTTCAAGAGCAGCTAATGTCTGGTGAAGTAATCAACACTGCTTCATGATAAATTTAATAGGCAAAGGCTTATTTTACCTCTCAGTTTGAATACTGTCAGAAGGCAGTAATTGAATGTGCTTGTGTAGCTACTAGCTGAGGGTTTTGCTTTGTCCTCTCTCTATTCACTGTGCTTTAGATGTTCAGGAAACCCAAGTGTAAAAATGATGTAAAAAGGTCATGTCAAAATCTTTGTCTGTAAAGTTTAAAACTTTAACATTAGGAATGTGGTATTTATTATCCATGTGTTTTCACCTTGCTACTTTTTCCTTTAATTTATTTCTTCCAAAGTCTGTTAGTCAGGTCCAGAGCAAGGATCTGCACTTAAAAGAACATTCTGTACCACTTTTATCCCAGAGGCAGTTCCTGGTTCTTGGGAAACTGTGAGCGAGCCTTCAGTGTACTAATTTAACGTAAATCAGATGGAATCTGTAAATTCAGAAACATAGTTTGGTTCTGTTGCTGTGCTTGTTTACAGGAATCTGTGGGATGAGCATTATTAATAGAAACTGGCTGGTCTTAGAAACTGGCTGGTCTGTGAGCACCACACTGAAATGTCACTGGTTTTGAAGAGTATTAAGATCTGAGAGATATAGAGAGAGTATTTACAGTAATTCGTGTCCATCTTAGAGGCTGTCTTTTGGGTTAATGTAGCACCTACCTCCTATAGACTATTGCATAGTTAAAAATAATGAAACTGTGATAATGGTGACTGTAACACAGTCAACAAGCAGCAGAGAGCTCAGTAGACCTCTTGATATGCATGTGCTGCTAGCTTTTACAATGCACAAGACATTTTCTTAGACAAAGTTGTTACGTTTTAAAGCATCACATGGCATGCTCTGGGTATTCCTGCCTGCCTCTGGGTTCCTATTGCTTCAGATGATCAGAAATAAAGATTTAATGTGCTTGTCTTGATGGTTGTTGTAACACTAATCTTCAGTGTTTTATAGACATGAGTTTCAATGTGACCATCACCAAAAAGAAATATAATTAAAGAAAGGAAGAATTGAATTCCAAGCCATCTGTGAAGCATCACTGGTGGTTTATTTACATAATATGACATCTTTGACATTCAGTGAGTTGCTTTACAGTTTATGAAACAGCAGGTCTGTGGCACAGAGGTGTGGGATTATGGTGTGAAAGGAGAATATAGTGAGCAGAGCACGATCAAAGACCTCATGTTCTGTTATCTTTGAATTGATCCACGGAAGTATGAAATACATGCCTTGTACTGCTGCTCTTGCTTTGCACCTGCTTGCAAGGCTTGCAGAGACTGTGGTCTGGTGCTGCTTAATGAGCCATGGAGGCTCGTTCTGACAGCCACAGGGCCCTGAGTTAAGTGAAGTCTGTAGGGGTGACTGCTGGATCACAGAGCAGCATCAAAGCCAGAGTTTTCACCTTCTCTGTCTCTTTCTCCCACAGTGATATGCTTTATTTACAGGGAAGAGGAGAGAGTCAAGTTGCAGGTTGTGAGCTGGGTTGTTGTAGGATCAAAAAGTGTTCTTTTGTGCTTAGGAAAAAGCTGATGATAGACAGTAGGTGCTAAGATAGCCAAAAAGTAGTCACAGTGTTGGCTGGAGGGTCACCTTGTCAACTGGTAGAAATGCCTTTCTGCTGAGATAATGCTTCCCCTTATCTAATTTATGTAGTAGGTACAGAGTAAAAATGTTTGATAACTCGCATCTTAAAATGCAGTTAAACCAATACTGGGTGTTTTTATTTTCCATTGGTTTATTTCCATATATCCTTCTAAGATATCTTGATAATCAGGGACACCATGCTGTAAAATGCTAAAATTTGTAATGTTGCAAAAATCAGATATATGACAGTCCCATAATTGACAACCAATAAATAAATTATTGGGTGAGGAAAAGTGTTTGAGGGATTATTGAAATCTCTTGCATCTTTGATAAAATCTAAATTACGTGTTGCTGTTTGTCTTAATAACTTGAGCCGGTCAGGGACTGGCAATAGCATTTACCACTAGGTTTTTGTAGATTAAAAAAATGTTTAGTTAAATAAAATTATAGATTTTTTGTTCATTTTTGTATATTTGCCTTTGCTTGAATGAAATGTCTGCTGCAAGTCTCTCCAGTTTGCAGCACATCACAGTAAAAGATTCCAGTAAATTTACTGCTAAACTGGATTGCTGAAAAGGTTTTTTTCTGTGTATAGATGAATCCTGCTACTGCTGTCATTGGTAATGTGGGCAGTGCCTGAAACTGGACCTGTTTGTCTGTTAGATGCCCATTCTGCTGGTTTCTGTGTCAGAGATGCATATATGAGCGGAAGGGATCAGGTGTCGCTCTGTGAAATTGCATGCACTCATGATGTCAGGAGCTCGACCCTCCCCTTGCTGTGTGGAGTACGACTACTCGTTACTGGAGAACATTTGTCTACGTGGCACCTTGTGTGCATTGTGGACCCCGCTTTTTGGGGACCTGAGCAGCATTTTGCGGTACAGAGGAGGTGAGTGGTAAGATGCATGTGATGGTGTCTCCTTCAGTCCCTTGCTCTGAAGTGGAGTTTGCACAAGAGCTGCACCGTAGCCAGAGCTGAGTATTTCCTCCCTACGAGCATCCTCTTCCTGCCTCTCCCAGTCACTTCCAGCAGCCAGGCTGAGTTACTGTAATCCCCAGCTGGAGGAAAGACGTGAGCCATTCATGTAAATTTTTTTTCTAAACAAAAAGGATAGTGTGAGAAAAGCAGAAAAGGCCACTCAGTGCTATGTGTGGACATTTTTTGATTCTTCTGCAGGAAGCAACGAGTACCATTAGGTACCCCTTTCTATCCAGGAAACACCAATATAAGCTGGTTTGTCAGGGCATTACATGTGGAAAGTACTGATTGTATTTCAACATGGTTCTAGTCAGTGCTGTATAAATAACATTGATTGCTTCTGATGAGCTAAATCTTCAGGTTATTTATCCTCTCAGGATTCACGTTGAGCTAGACACTTACTATTTCCAATTGCACAAGCTCCCAGGGGATCCACAGTGTGGCACAAGCAAAGAGTGAAGAGAACAGAAGCCAGGATGGCACCATCTCTCCAATAAGTTGTGTTTGTATCACCCAACACAAAAAAAGTTTGCTGTACTGGTGATGCAATGATTATCCTCCAAAGGAAGAGCTAAGTTATCTTTTCTTGTGCACACTTGTTGTAGAATAGGTAGACTAGACTGATACTTGCCTTTCTTATCCTTGCAGAGGAGGAAGATGTCATATGACAGAAGTAAGCAGCAGTACTTCATGTTCTCTTTGCGTGGCATAATGATTTGAATGTGCTCATGATTTCTTGCGGTGGAGATGGTGGAGTTTAGTTTGCATGTGTTCCATTAAAGATTGAGAACCATTGTAGGTGAAGGGATTTTATAGAGTAGAATAGAGCAATGGTGTAAGACAGCTGACTGACATGTCTTGTTTTAACCAGCCATGAAGAGATGCCCTGTGAGTAGCAGTAATGGTGAGGTCTGGGATAGATATTAATGTGCTTCACTGGTTCTGTAAGGTAACACTTATGAAAAGCTCTACTTTAAACTACTCCTTGCAGAACTAACATTACTGTTTCTTAACTTACATTGTAACCCTGTTTTCTTCTGTACATACGAGTCTGTGCTACCCGTGCTGCTGCTTTTAAGGTTGAGTTCAGGATGGCGCTGCTAGAAACTGCAGAGCTTTGTCTGGTGGTGTGAAATGCCTTGGAGTCAGCTGCAGGATACTTCCTCCCTCCACAGAAAATAAGAAACTCTTCTCTCTCAATTTTACTGCTGATAGACTGGCTGGATTAGTGTTTACCTTGATACTCTTTTCGTACTATATGAAAGCTTTGGGATTTTTTTGGCTGAACAATTTGTGACCAGTGATTTTGTAAAGGATTTTGCCTTCTGTTTTAAAACTGCAAGAATGTATGTCCTTGTGACTGTAGATAAATTGATGGGCACTAGGAGATGAGGATTAACAAATTCATGGTTTTAAAGGGAGTGTATGCTGGGATGGTGGGTGTGTCATTGTAGGCAGGCAAATTCTCAAATCCTATCTGACTCATAGAAGGCTGTACCTATGCATTAACAAGCAATGAGCTGCGCAACTGTGTTGTTCTTGGAAACTTCAGCTGTAAAAACAAGGCCATATCTGAGCTGAGACAGCCTTCTCTTAAGACAGATTTTTTCGTGGCCTGTTTTAGCAAGTAGAAGACTTGTGCATAGCTGGTGAGCTCAGACCTTGCTGCTGTAAAGATGTGGAGTTTCTTCTGGTATGCTCTTATTTGAAAGGAATACTACTTTTAGACTATGAATTTAGAGGATGTAGTGCATCAGAAGTATAATAGTAGAAATCAAAGTTGCTATGGTGACAATAATTATATTAATTCCAGTGATGACTTGTATCAGTAGCTTGCTGTTTAGCGTGGTTAAGGCAACCTGCCTTGGGGATAACTTCTATGAAGTTGCTAGAAAACCAACACCAGACACTTAGGATGTTGGTGTGGAGTAAAAGTTGCTACAATGTGTTTTGTGGTCAAACATAACTTTTTACCTCTAGAAATAAGAAATTATGAAATTCTCACTACTTCATTTGCTGCAACTAGGAGTGTCTCATGCTCAGCATGATCTGTTTTGTTTATCCTGTCTATTATGTGAAATGCACACAGCATATTAACTAAGACCAGCCACCCCTCCTCCAGCCATAACATAGACATTACACCAGTGTTTCCACATTCTAGGGACATTTGGGGCAACTGGGTAGCTGATAAGCTTAATATCCTTTTTCCCCCTAAATCTGAAAGATGTTGACCTAGTTCACAGACATGAATCATGTATAATGATATCAGTACCTCCTGATGGGTGTGTAATAATTCCACTGGTTTATTCTGTTTGTAGATGCTGTGACAATGGAGTTAAGCTGCGCTGAACTACCTCTTTATGTAAGTCCTACAACACTAGGCTTCTGCCTGAAGAGTCGCTTTCTTTTGGGTAACAACTTATTCAAAAGCAGGGTGAATGAAACCAAAAACCATCCTTTGTTTTCCCTGAGACTGGAGGCTGTTGAATGTTGCTGTCTGATGCGGGGATGTCTGGAGGTGATGTGTCAATACTGTGACTCAGGTCTCTGAAGGAAGTTTCAAATTTTTCCCTTCCTTGTGATCATTATTTTCTTCTCCTTCAATAGTCTTAATGCCTATGGATTTTTTTGATTTTTAGCTTTTTGTAGATTTTAGAAGTAGCTGTAGTTAGCTTACCCTTTAGCACAGTAGTTGACACATTTACCCAACCCTATTACCCCATTTCGGATCTAACTTTCTAAATTCCTTAGTTTGTTTAGACTTCTCTTAAGGTAAGCAAGCCTTCTTTCTGTTTAAGAACATTTGTACCCTGGCTTGAACAAGATACCCCACAGACAAAGCATCCTTCAAAACCCAGAGCTTTGGAGAAGCTCCACGGACTGGATGTGCTGTGACGAAGAGGAAGATGAGGAAGAGGGGGTCCCAGAGCCCCCTGCCTCAATTCCCAGAGAGGCATGCCAGGGGGAAGATGTGGGGGCTGGATAGATCTGGGATTGGATGGACAAATACCTTAAATTGTGGAAGCCCCAGGACATGGGCGCGTGTGTCTGTACTCCTGTGGTAGTTGAAGGCATTCTATTAAAACTGCTCTCTTATCTCTATAATAATTGCCTGGTGAGTAATTTTTTGGCTGCTGGCTGATCCTTTAAGGCAACAGTCTCATTTGCAGTTTTCAAAAGCAGAGCCTGTGTAGAGACACCTTTCACCCTCTTTCCCACAACTTATGGCTGTTTTTTCCCTATCCCAAATTACCATTCTCCCTGCTTCCACAAAGCAGGAACTTGTGTGTTATGTAAAAAAAGAAGATGAAGTTTGCAATCAAGTGGATTCTTTTTCTGCAAATCCTGAAGTGATTGCTTAAAATAGATGAACTCGCAGTTAAAAAAGAGGTACTAACAGGAGTGAGTTTTTTAGCTTTGTTTACAAAGAAGGTCTGAGGTGACGTAAGTGCAGCAAGTGTAAGAAAGATGTGGTGAAACACAATCCCATCCAGGTTTCTTAGATCCTAACCTAGGATTCTAGGATGGGGAAACATCCCTCCTTGGTAACCTTTTTGGAAGTAAAAGGTACCTGTATGAAGAACATTTTTCTGCACAGTAGCTTGCTTTGCTTTGACAGCAAGTGGAAGCTGCTCCTAATTTGGTTTGCTCTTGGCATGCCCTATTATCAGACAAGGTGTGTCCCATCTCATTTACTCTTCCAAAGAAAGGAGTGCAGCTGCTTTAGATGGAGGCAGAGAGGAGGAGGTGCATTCAGTCTGCATTCACAGCTCTCTCCCCTCTGAGAATAAATGGGAGCCAGAGGAACCATGCTCCCAAAGCTCAGGCAGGAGCAAAGGAGGAGGAGTGAGTACAGCCTCGTGGCCAATCTGGCCACTTTTTTATCACATCCAATATACCTGTAGCCTATCCCTACAAAGGCATACATGTAGGGATATGTAGGCATATCCCTACATATCCCTACATGTATTACAACCTCAGTTAATTGTCCCTTGGATCCACACTGTTTTATTTACTTTTGCTACTAAATAACAATTTTGAAGTTCTTTTGATCTTTTGTTACTTTTTCACAGGATATACTCTCTCTGTAGCAGTTTTTTGGGCAAACACTTGGCTACAGGTTCATTAGCATCTTCGCTGTTTTCTTAATTTGTGATCTTGTAGTTTCTCAAGGATGGGCTGACATAATACCTCACGAGTACCTTGGGCATAGAAGGAGTTTGTATTTCCATACAGAGAGGAAAAAGTAAAACGAGGGATGTGTTTCACACCTGGGGGTGCAGGTAACAACAGCAAATTGCCGGTGTGATTTTTAATGTTCTTAAAAACAAAGCCTGCTGTACTGTTCAGCTACCATCTACCTGGATTTCCATAGGTGAGAAATGTGGTGAAACAGAGTTAATTCTAAGATGTCTTAGTTGACAAATAAGTTAATTTTATTATTCATGGGAAAAAAAAGACATAAGCCTGTTGACACTGGCCAACGAATGAAGCAAGCCAGCAGCCAGAGGCCATCTTGCCTTACCCCATTGCTGGCTTTCATGCTCCCTTAGTGTTCTGTCTGTACATTTGACAGCAGTGACATGGAAGGGGAAAAATAATTGCAGAATTCCATAATGGACATCTGCATAAACTACTTCCAGGTCAGCTTCAGAATACAACAGCATGGCTGTTATACAGTGGAGAAAATTAAAGACGAAAGTTTCAGATTAGGACTCAAAGTCCTGTTGTAAAGATCAGAAAGCAAAAGGTGGTAGAAAGTTCAAATTGGAAAGAGGATTTTAATGCATATGCAGGGATTGGACTAATTTGGTACTCTGTCAGCATCTTTTAGTTGTTTGGGCTGTAGTGCGACAGTCTTCCAAAGTGCTCCGAGTTGGTTGCTATTGTTCCAGCTGAAGACAGGTTAGAGTGCACTGTAATATTCATGCAGTCCTGGACTCTTCTGAATTCTTCAGTTCTGCACTGAACTCCATGCAAAAGGTGGTTAAATAAACAGGGTTTTATTTGTACTCTAGCAGTGTGTCTGGGAATAATTTGAGCATATCTGCTGAAAAATGTTCAGAGGTTCACAGGCAGAGGGACTCTGAAAACACCTGGTTAGGCAGTTAAAAAGTTGTGAATCATCTTGTTTGACAGAAAGAAATTCCAATTTTTTTTCTAAAATATGTTATTTGTATGGCTAGTTAGAGCTAGAGGGACAAATAAGCAGTAATTGTTACCTTCCTCACAAAAACATGAGAGAAACAGAATGAACAGAAATAATTTAACAATGTTATTCTGTTTTCTAAATGATTAAAATTCAAACTGATACATGATTCCAGTATGGTTTTGCATGATTTGAGTAGGAAGTGGCAGTAGGACTTATTGATTCTAAAGTGACTAATTGATTGTCTACCTTGCCAAGATGTTTGCCTTCCCACTTCACCCATGTTGAACTAAGAGTTGATGTGGGAAGAAGGGATAGTTTTCCATGGTCACATACAGCTCTTGTACTTGCTGCTCTTGCCATGTGTTCAGTGTCTTCTGGCCAGCCCTTTGTGGAAAGAAGACAATTTCTAGCCTATCTTGTCCATTCTGTGCTTTCATGTTCTTTGCTGTTGCAGTAGGGTTGGCCATAATTCTTAGCTCATCTGTGTGTTCATCCAGGCTGAAATCACTGAAATTACTTAGAGGGTAATTTCATAACACAGAAGAGAAATGTGATTTAAAATGTAAATATGTGTTGGCCTTTCAGCATGCATTTGCTAATGCACAGAACTGTGTTCACTGGTCTGATCCAGCGCTGGCTGGGGTCACGAGTATTTTGTTGTTGACCCCTGTGGAAGCCTGGTGAGGTCTGTCATGGGTGGTTTGCACGGGGACACACAGCAGAGCGTGCACTGGCTGGCTTCTGTTTGGATGTAGACTTGCTGCCAGAATGAGACTGAGGAAATACATGTGAAAGAATAGGATCTATTTTAAAAGATACGAAGGAAAAGAACAGGTGCTTCAAATCATGTCCATCAGCAGGCAGGTAATTTTTGTTCCCATGGTGTATTATTTCTCCTCCACTTTTTGTTTTCCTGTTCAGTCCCTAAATTGAGATTTTTCTGGGCAGGGACTTTGTGCTTACATGTATTTGTGTAGTGTCTGCAACAGTAGAGCTCTGATATCACATGGGACATGAGAATAATAAGTAGATTTGTGTATTTTAAATCAAGTCAACTGAAAGAGATAATTTCTTTTAAGTCAATGGTTGCATGTCAGAAGGGATGGTAATTTTCTATTAATATGCCTTATTGCAGAAGTTTTTTTGACCTGTGTATGTTAAGAGCTCATTCCCAAGCTTTTTAATTCCTCTGTATTATTTTATGCATGGAGATAAATTGTGTTGTTGTTGTTGACAGCAAAACACTGAATGATATTTTTAATGACAGACCAGCAAGAATGTTAATATATGTTTTGGAACTGGGCTTGAAGAAAGTTTTTTTAGTTCTTCCTTCCCTACTCCTCTGCTTTCTGATAAAAACATGCAGGATATTTTCTTCTCATTTTCTCCCTTTGCCATATGGGAGACTGAAAACTTTTCTCCACCTTACCTGTTGTCACAGTTTGATGATGGGCTAAACACAGCTTTAAGATTGGTGGTGATAAGTTAAAAAAAATAATGTCAGTTTGATGCAAAGTGCTGACTTGCTCTATGGTTCAAATTATTTAAAAACACTGGTAGATTAATTCTGTACCAGCAGTCAGATCCATGACTGTCTCTTATCCTGCTGCTGACATACAGCAGGCATAAAAGCACAAAGCCAGCATAAGCTCTGTATCATGTGCTAATTCAACAAAAATGAGATTGTGTTCCCAGGTCTGGCATGGGTCATTAGTGTGGCTGGATGTTGCTCATGGTGACATCTAAAAGGTCTTGCTGCCAGCTGTACCTTAAACTGAGCAAAGGGCTGACTGAGAGAGTTAAACAGAAGAAACAGGACTGAAGAGGACAATTTTTTGTGATAAGATGATGCCATAGAAAATAAGAACCTGGGCATATTGCATGTGCACTGAATGAAGTGCATCAATATGTGTAATACATGTTTCTTTTTAAAGTGGGTAATATTAGAGGCAACTTAGCCTAGAGTGGAATAGCAAAGAGACTTGCTGACATATGCATGTTATTACCCGTTACTGTGTTTTTTCTTTTTAGAGGAAATATATCTATTTTGCAGTAAATGAGAAGAATTTGAAGTATTTTAAATGGCTGCTGCTGGTGTTTGTTTGTTTGTTTGTTTGTTTTTCCGGGAGGCAAATCTTGCAGTTCTCAACAAAAAACTTGTTCTTCTGCCTGTGTCTGTGAACGGAGTGAGCCTAGGTTGAGGCTAGTGATGAGGCAGAAGGTGTAACTTACTTTGATGCATCAGCTTTGGGAAAATCACAGCGTATGCAATTTCAGAAACTCCCAATACGGCACATGTATTTGAGTGTGTCACTGAGGGAGGAGTATTGCAATAAGCTTGACTGAAAAAGCACAAGGTTTAAGGCTGATCTATTAAACCCCAACAAAGTAAACCACAAGCCTTCATCTCTCCTCTCCTTCAAAACAAAACGAAAACCATCCAGCTTCTAAGTAATCAACAGGCTAGAGCTCAGCTTGTGGCTGAGAACAGCTGTGCAGAAATGGAGGCTGTGCATAATTATTTAGTGTAACAGTCTGGCACATCTCTGGCCATTTTGTATCATTTGGCTACTGTGTTATCAAGGCCAAAGACTTGTTAAGCCCTTAAAGAAGCACCCGCTGCAGAAGGTGGGAGAGGCCAGACGGGTATTGTTTGGGTGGGAGGAAGTTCCCTGTGTTGTGTGTTAGGGGACCATGTGAGGGGTGCTTTCAAACAGGGTGGGCAAAATTCATCTTTGAGGAGTAGCTTGGGCACTGTTGATTCTGCCTTGAGGCACGGGAATCAACTAGTTAACATCTCTGGATCTCTTCTGTCCTTGTTCATCTTTGCTTCAAGCGTACTTTTGTCATTGGTTTGGGTCTAACAGAGTGCGTAATTTTTTTCCAGGTTATGTGGGCTACTTAGCAGTCAAAAAGATGGCTATAGCTTCTACCAGCACTTCCTTTGGAAAAGGCATATCTAAACCAAAGTGAGGAACTTGCTGATATTTCATGTCAAAAGAGAGCAGCTTATCTGTCTTCATTAGGAAATTTCTCTGTTAGTGCTTTTCTCTTCAAGGTTGTGCTGGGACCTTTATAGAAGCATCTTTTAGATTATATCCTAGGACTCAAATGGTCACGGAATGCTTTTTTCTTCACTCTTTTGACATCCTCTGCATTTCTGAAAAAGCTGCTTCACACTGAGGAAGTACCTACAGGTAGTTGGTGCCTAAAGCTAATGTGTTTTGGAGAACCTGCCATGGTGTATTTCCCATGTGCGGTCAGCGTCTTGTCCACAGGTTCAGGGGCTGAAGAGTCCAAAAGAGTGAGGTTCTCAGGGTGCTGCTTGAGTTTTGTAGTGTAAATGAGCAGAGGACTGGCTCTTCTCCAAGCAACTCTGCGTGTCCACTTAATTTTTATAAAAGTGTGTGTATAGGCTTTTGGGCAATATGTAATACTAAATATGACCCTATCATTACATACTTTGTCTCCAGTCTGTACGTGGAATTCTGCTTGCCTTGTTACTCTGAATAGAAAAAACTTTAATCATACTCAGTTGCTTCTTCTCTCAAGTCATTAAATAGGGGGAAAACCACCCTATTTTTACTTTGAATGTTATTAGCTATAGCATTAGAAAGCTAATGCTTCTAGAGAAAAGTTCAGCTTTTTTCTCCTGTCTTGTTTTTCAGTTTTTTACTCCTTGCTTGTGTGTAGATACTGTTTCATTGTGTGCTGAATCCCATTGCATTCAATTCCATTAGGGTACATGCTTTCTTAAACAAGTCCATTACAGTGCTTACTGCAATCTGTCAACAAGAAATGCCTAGTGGACATTATAAAAATATCACTGAACATTAGAAAGGCATGTTTAAAACTGTTTCCCTGTTATTAAGGTTTTGAGTATGGTTGATTTGTGTTTATTTAGAATTTCCCTACTGCTTTTTTTGCATCTTTTGTGTAGAAGTGTTCTAAGTTGCAGCTAAGTTGCAGCAAAGGTCATTAAAACTGTATGGCTGCCACTATTCTTGTCTGAGCACAAGTAAAATATAAAGATTTTCTGAAGCGAGACTTCTGAACAGTGAAAAAATAATGGTTAAATTGTAGTGGCTAGTAGCAGCTGACATAGAGGAAAATAGCCCCATTATTGCTGGAAATACTTGGCTATTTGCATTTACTTCAATGTGTTGGGTCTTGCATTTTGGGAACAAATAAGCCATTATTTTACCTGAGCACATAAATATTTTTCATGGAGCGAGTAAATACAAATGCGGTGTTTGTTTATACCATTACATTTACAGATAATGTAAATTTTCGTGGTAAAAATTTGGGAAAATAGAATTATCCAGGCTGTGTATGCAAGAATAGAGAGCAATTGTTGAAATGTGAGTGTTAGGCAGCATGGTGGCCTGGATCTGGAAGCCCACTAAAGGTCTTTTCGTATTGCCCTTGTTTTGCTGGGGCAGGTTGCTGGTGAAGAAGATGGTGTTATCTAAATGATTCTGAAGTGGAAGAAGCTTAGTTTAGGTTAATGGCCAATAATTAAGGCATGGGCTGTCTTGCTGCAGAGTAGTGATCAAGCACATTGGAAGTGCCATGGTCATCTCTTCAGTTCCTCCTGCCTGCCTGGATGCCGCCATGCTTCAGCCATGAGGGATTGCTACCTACCTATCCCTCTTCTCCTCATGAAGAGTCAGTCCCTTACTGGGATGCAGAATAGGGTCAGACTGTGTGGAGATAGGAGCTCTTGTCCCAGGGCTTTGGGGACAAGTCTTTTCTACTCCCCACCCAGGTTGTGAGGTTCAGGAGACCCTGCTGCTGTGTGCTGAACACTGTCAGCTCTCAAGTGCTCTGGAGAAACCAAGAAAAAATATATCTGAAAACCTGTTTGGTTACATTAAAAGAACTCATAGACCTATAAATCCTGTTAAAAATACAAACCTTGCTAATCTCCTCCCTGGTGCAGTGCCAGGGCAGTGTTTTCACTGGTAATAAAAGGTATAATTTACTTTATGGATCACAGAGAGGTAAATACTAACTCTTGCTCAGCCACAGGTTTAATGTGTTTAGAGTTGGTTCAGTGGCTCTCTTAATGCTGCCATAGCTGCAGCCTCCTCTCCCTAATCTTCCAACAGCAAAGTCCTCTGGGTCCATGCTCTCCCAGCTGCCTTGTATTCAGTCCACTTGACCAGTTTTCCAAAGGTAAGGCACCTGTGTGACTTATCTGGTTTGAGTTTTGGTACCTAGAGGATAACTGTTAAGCCTAAATTTTGTATTTAGAAATGCAGAAGAAATATGCCAGTTGGGATGTGTTTCCAGCTTCAGTGTCTGGAACAAACTCAGAATAAACATCACTGTGTAGAACGACAGCGTTCCCATTTCAAATGGTGTGTATATTGTATTTTATTTCTGTTTGTTTTGCTGTTTTAAACTGATACGTGAATTAGGGTTTAATTACATACTTTTAAATGCCAATAACCATAATTTTAGTTTCTTCATGTTTTTTTATTAAAATTACCTGCGAATGCCAGAGTTTTTTGCAGACCAAAGTACCCATCCACATTATTACTCAACAGACCAAAAGGGTTATTTGCAACTAACATAAAAAGATTTTTAAAAAGATGATGAATTAATAACAACAACAACAACAACAATAATAATAATATATTCTGGTTACAGTAGTGCAAAACCCAAAGAGAAATATGCGAAAACACTTGGCAATTATAATAACACTTCAGGCTACTAAAAAAGAAGTGCATTATCAGTTTCTGGGGATGACAGGTATGTTTGCTCTTGATATTGAACTCATAATGTTGTTTACACCTGTTCTTATGGAGACAGTCCTACCTGAGGAAGATTTTGTGCTGGAAACTAGCCTTTGTCTCTTCACCCCAGTTCATTAGACTCACTTATATTTAAGAGGAAAACAAATGCAGGATTCACATTGTTATGAGTGAGGAGAATGATGTCCTTGGGGAAGGCAGGCTAAGATGTGATGTTGGGGGGGTGGCAACAGTCACACTGAAGTGTGTGTTTGCCATATAATGAATAAGGCAAGGACGCTAAGGACTGTCAGGGGCATAAGTGTGTAGTGGGTTTCTGTGGCTGGGTTTTGGTAGTAGGGGGGCTACTGGGGTGGCTTCTGTTAGAAGCTTCTAGAAGCTTCCTTGAGCTGGTAGAGCCAATGCCAGTCAGCTCCAGGATGGACTTCCTGCCTCTGGCCAAGGCCAAGCCAATTAGGAGTGATAGTAATGGCTCTGTGATAATATATTTAAGAACAGAAGGTTGTTGCGCAGATGAAAATTCCAACCAGGGAAGAGCAGAGTGAGAACATGGGAACAACAATGCAGACACCAAGGTCAGTGCAGAAGGTGGGGGAGGAGGTGCTCCAGCCGCTGGAGCTGAGGCCCTGCAGCCCGTGCAGCTTGATCTACATTTCCTCCCTCAGACCTGTCAGACATTTGTTATTGTTTGCTGCTTCTCAGATCCCTTTCCTGTTCTTTTTTGAAGCTATTGTATGACAGGTTTTTCTTGGCTGGTTGCTTTCTATTTACTATAAAGAAACCCATAAACAGATATCTGGGAACTAGTATTCTTTGAAAGCAGCATATTCATTTGTAGAATTACATTGGTGCTTTTGTTTTGCAAACTGAGTCCAAGATCATTTAAAGCACTTTTGAATTTTTTATTTTTTAAAACAAAACTTGCTTTAATATTTGGGTTCACTGACTGAATTATTGTGATGCATTTTAAATAAAAAGTCAGTTACATTTTTGTGGGTCAGGATGAAGGGAATTAGTTGAAAGACATTATTTAAAATGCAGTTTTTAAAATCAACCTTCGCTTCAGCAGGCATAAAACCAGCATTATTTTCTAAGTGGAAGTAGAAAACTGCAGGTTTGTCATTGTATCATAGCCTCTCTATAGTAGAGTTATAAAGGTTATAATAAACTTGCATCTGAACTGGACGTCAGTGGATTTGTTGAAGATGAGAAATTTAGTAGATGTTTCTCAATGCAGTCTCCTTTTTCAGGGACAGGTGACTATACATGCAAAATTTGACAAGGACATTTACCTCCCAGAGGACGCCGAATTTTACTTTGTTTATGGTGGATCCCTGAAAAGATACATAATGTTTGCTGAGCGAGTTAGTGACAGTGCTCTTCAGTCCATAGTTCCAGGTGAGCCTCAACTCCTGTTTACGTTTTTCAACTCTTTCCTTAACTCAAACCCCCTTTCAAAGCTGCACATAACCAGACGATTTGGTATAACTCTTTTATGGCTCTGTATTGGAGAAAATGCAGGAGTTCGAATGATGGCCTTTGGGATCCAGGGGTGATCCTGCCTGATGGCCTTTGACCAACCAGGGGTGATCCTGCCTTTTGTAGCAATCCACGCGAGTGCAGTATCAGATGTAGACAATGTTACTGGACTTGCATAGTTAGCTATGCATTAAAGTGCAGTCTTCAGGGGTGGCATAATTTTTAATGCGTTAATTCTATGCTGTACCTGTTTGCCTCTGGGCATCCTAACACCTGCAAAAGTCCTGTTTTTCCTGAGCCTTCTCTCGGTGTAGCAGTCAGCCTGGCTTGCAAGATCCTTCTGCTGGAGGCTTGCAATGCTTGGAGCTCTGCTGGAGCTGGACATGGTACAGAGGTGTCTGCGAAACCATTCCAGGGCGCCTCACTGCGAACAGGGGGATATGTGTTGCTTCTCAGTTGGCTTTCTGCCTTGACATTGTCTGCTTCACGGATGTAACATAAACCCTACTTGTCACCTCTGTTGTGTGCTTTGTGACCTTTTCATTTGTGTGAGTAGGTGGCTACAGATGTGATGTACCTGTGCAATAGGATCTGCTTGTTATTTGTTCGTGTGTTCTAAAGGGGATTTAGAGTCTGAAAATAAGAGCAGAGTATAAAAAAGGAAAGTTCATCACCATTACGTGGTGGCTTCTTTAATCTTGTAAATGGTAAATGATTGTCATGGATTACAACTGGAGAAAAGGCAATGCTAGGCTCGTTCCAAGGCTTTTTAAATTTTTTTTTAAAGTGCCTGAAATGACATTGTTGAATGGTTGCTTCTGGGCTAGTAATAAAAACAGAGGGCTGCAGGCAACACTTAATCGTGGCAGAAGGCACGAACAGATGAAAATAAAATGTGAGGTTAAAATATAGCCTGCTGATGTTAGTGTTATTTTGTGGTGGCCAAATTAAACATAAGGGAACACAGAGCACTTTAAAAACAATTGCAGTTGTGGTAAGTACTGCTTCTTTCTGCAGTTACTAGCTTGCACATATACTTGTAGTTATACAAGGGGTATACAGGAGTATGTTGGAAAATATAGATTTGTACCCTTAGTACATTATGGTTAGCTCTCCAGTGAGACGTACAGCTTGCACCTCTTTTAGATATATGACATCCACCCTCCCTTAGATGTCAAAGCAGTAGGAGGGAAACACAAAGTCCTGAAGAGGTTTGAGAGACAAACTCCCTCGGACTTTAAGGGTCCCAGCTGTAAGTTAGAGAGTTGATACAACATTTAATCAAGTCTGCCAAGATCCTGAAACATGCATTAGTTAAAAGCTTTTGGGTTTTGGCCTGGATAGGTACAAAAAAGGATGTTAATAGATATTTTACTCAGAGTTCATGTTGCAGGCCACTCCCCCACTCTTCTCATGAGCATCATATTTTTCCTAATGCTTATCCAAGAACCTTCAGTTCTTTCTGTTGTAGTTAAAGAATGCTCACCTAAAAAGACTGGTTCTAGAATTAATCATGTTGGTATAATTTAGAGGAATGGCATTTCACAGTCTAGTTGAATCCAAGTTCATTGCTAGAAATGGTTGGTGGATGCCCTATGACAAATAAATGTAATGAGAGGAAAGAATAAAATAATTCTGAATGAGCAGTCACAGCTCTTAGAAGTGAAGTGGAATAAAAAATAACATGTATTTTCTGAACATAGATAATGTTAGTGATTAATTTAAATTAAAATTACAGGCCATGGATGCCAAGAAGCAGTTTCTGTCTCTATTAATGTACACAGGGAGTTACTCACCTGTGGTCCTCAGCAGCTGTCCCATCGCTTACAGAGAGAATCTGTCTTGCAAGTTGTCTTGCTTTCTGGTCAGTCATGCAGAATGTCTCACTGCCACTAATCAAAAGCTGTTGCTGGATAAATTTGGGCTAAGGATGAAAGATCTGCAGTTGCTGGATGGCCATTACTTATGAAGAATTGCCATTGACCTGGAACCCCCTTGGACACTGCCCAGAAGGTGGTAGGGTTTTATTTTAAGTCAGAAAACTTTTAATAGTGGTTTGGTGCACAGTTCAGGGCAGAGTATCTCACTGTTTTATCCACGTTCTCAATCCTTGTGCTTTATTTTTTGGTTAACATGAAAAAATTGTTCAGGTGTGAGAGGGGTAATCAGAGATTTGGTTTGTGCCTGGAGAGCTAAAAAGGATAATAATGGTTATTGTAACTGTCTCTCCAGGAAGTTTTTCTGCCTTGACTATCTGTGAATGTAGTTCTTTATTTATAAATGGACTCTGTCTTTGAAAGGTTAAAGAGCTTTAAAAGCTTTAAAGGGCTGCTTAAAAAAAGCAAAAGCTGTAGCAGTGAAGTTTTGCTGCTGTGATTCTAACCAAGTGAGATATTTTATCTACACAGACAAAAAGGAAGTGGTAATAAAAGAGAAGAATATGTTACTGTAGACATTCTGATATACAGAGTAAATGTAATTTTGTCACTGTTCTGTTAATGTTTATGTTTATTTAGGACTATGATCATTCTTTGGGGAGCATATCATTAAACAAGTTTTTTTTTGTGGCTTTTTTTTATTGTAGAAGAATGGGGTGAAAATATATGTGAAACTTTACATTAGGGTATGCTTTTGAAATTTTTGTAAGAAAACCACTTGAAATTTTCCAAGTTTCAGGTTTCATTGCAAACAAAAAGCTGTAGTTATGGTTTGCTTAAGAGTATAATTTTTTTTGCAGACCCAGCTGATTTATAGATGAGATTGGAAACTTGATGGCTTCACATGTTTTTCATTGAATATTTGGTGCTTTTAGCTGCTTTCCTTTTAGTATTTTAAATTGCTAAAAATTGGAAGACAGGCAGCTTCCATATGAGCCAAACAGGAATAGATATTCATGCAAGCTTTTGGGAAGTAAAAACACAGCACTTAGCCCATTTCTTTGGGTGAGCACTTTTTTCCTGTCTTAAATATTTCTAATTCTTAATGGCATATAGCTTGAAATCTGAAGGATGCTTTTTGTCTGTCTGTTGTAAACCATTCTTTAAACAGATGTGAAAACAAGTACCAAGTCTCATTCAAATATTGTTTAGACAGGAGAGAAAAAAATAAAAGGCCATTACTTGTTTCATTTTGATGTGTAGTAAATATTTGTTCACATTACTCAACTTCTGGAACAAGTGTTGGATCTTAGGAATGGGTACCTTAAGTCAAAGCCTGAAGAACTCAGCTGTAGTTTTGTTCACAAGCTTGGCTAAGTTTTTCATCAAAACCAGTTGAAACCCAACCCAGGCGTGGTAATGAGAGATGCTTGGGCATAGCCAGCTGGGTACCTTCTTGCTTGAAACACAGGCAAGAGTTATCCTCGGTGTGTTGTGAGTGCAGAGAGTCAGAGCGCATCTCAGCTGGTACCAGAGTAAGCTCTGCCAAGGCAGCTGCTATCCACATAGCAAAATTCTCTAATTTTTAGTTATGCTAATTGTTAATTTTCAGGTTTATAACAACATTTTTATGGAAAAAGAGTATGTTGCCCTTGTGAGACTTTTACAGATCTTGTATTTTTTGTTTCCATGTATTTTTCATACTTTTTCACTTTTCAGATTTAAATATATATATATAATATATATTACATTATATATATTTATATATATTATATATATACATAAACAAAATTTGAACACAGTGAAAAAGCTGAGATGTGTGCCCCAGTTGCTATACAGAGCCTCTCTGAACATTTGAAGTGTTAGATGAGCATGTCTTCAGCATGCTGCATTGGGGTTGCCTCATGGGCACTGTTGCACTTGAAGAGATGACATCTCCTTTTGTACATTGCTGTTAAATTAATGCTATTAAATGAAGGTGCAGTCTTTTGCCTTCTCTCTGAATAAAACAAAACCTGATCTGAATTCCTGGGGCCTGGAAGCCAGCTTTGCCACTATTTAGTTATTTTCAAGAGGAAGACTGCTCTTTTAGGTTTTTGGCTATTAATAGAAACAATACAATTAGAACCTGAGTTATGAAAACAAATTGTGGATCTCAGGGAAGGGAACAGTGTCTGTACGTGTTTAGTTCCCTCTAATGAACAAGGAGATTTTCCATTTTATTTCATAAATGCATTGTAGTTGTTTTCTAGGAATAGGTCTTGTGGGGTGAACTGAAATACCCAAAGTTGCTGCTTTATAGTCTGCCTTTGGGGGACACCTTCCCTTTTTCTATGGTATTTTTCACTTTACAGCCCTCTCCCTGTCCTTTTCGTTGTAAATCGCATTACTCTTTCCACTTGGTGTTAACACATTCCTGCTAAGGTACATAAGTTCAAACCTGACTGATGCATGTTTTTGATGTAAATTAAAGAAAATTCTGTCTGTCTTTTCCTTAGTGAGAATTTTAGATTACTTTTTATTCCTGTGGAAGGAAAGGGAGAGGACTGCCTGTTCTCCTTCATGGAATTAGGAAATAGTGGGAACAGTGGATAAGTATGTATAGGTCTGGTAAGATTTGTGAGGAGAGGTAATTGTTTTGTGGTCAGAATGCTCAGGGAGTTAGACAAACAGACAAATCTTTGGCCCAATATGAATTTGCCCTTTTGGAAGCTGTACATGGCAGACAGAGCAGGATGCTAGCCTGTGCATTGGGAAGCAGATGAATGTCTTTCAGTGCCTGCTGCTGACCCAGAAAACTGTGACATGGGGTAAGATATTGGCAAGCATGCTTCAACCTGTGGGTCCCCAGCGAGTGCATGATTCTCATCTCCTGGTCAATGGTAGTAACAGCAGAGAGGAGGCATTTGAGGTTCCTCTGATCACAAAGGGGCTTTTTGGGAAAAGCGCTGAGCACTTGGAGATGATCAGAGTGTTAAGAGAGCAAGTACTGTAAGAGATACAAGAGATAAAGTTTCCTATTTAAGACAATATATAAGTAGT